TTAAAAATGTTGGCATTGATCCCAGCCACATATTCACAAGGAAGGGTACTTTCCCCCCCCCCCCCATCACAGCAGTTTAGGGGGCTAAAAACAAATGTTAACTCTGAATCGGTATTCTTGAAACTACCTGTCTCAAAAGCAAAGGAAACACTTGAACTGTTCGACTGCATTCCTCAAGACGAATAGGATCTAGCTGAAGAAATCAGATCCAATTTAAAAACGAAATGATCTAATAACATTATTTTTTTAAAAAAAATAATTGTTTTCATACTGGCATTTATATTTTGGGTTCAGTTCTGGTCACGTGACCGCCCCGCCCCCTAGAGGTTCTCTTCCGGAGCTCCGTACCTGAGAGCTCCCCCCCGACTAGAGCCCTGGGATCTAGCTGAAAAAATCAAATCCAATTTAAAAAAGAAATGATCTAATAACATTAATTTTTTTAAAAAAAATAGGTGTTTTCATACTGGCATTTATATTTTGGGTTCAATTCTGGTACTATCTGTCTGGATTCACATACTAGAGGTTGATGGGAAAGTGAGGTATCAGGATTCCGTACTTTCCTCTCACCAGACTCATGGGCATACTGTGCAGGAGTCAAGAACACATCACTGGAGTGGTGGAGGAATTCCCTGTAAATACTGATCACTGAGGATGGTCTAAGAAGGGTATTGTGCTCTCAGAATTCGGTGGATTTCAGCTAACCCTCGCTGACTCAGTTAAAAGTCTAGAGGTTATATGGACCCAGTTTTACTGTTGGAGAAACAAGTTAAAGCAGTTGTGGAAAAAAAGGCTTTCTCTTCCATCTTCATTGTTCAGTGAATAAGGATAGAGTTAATGCCTGTGAAACTTCGGAAGTTTTTATCAATTTGTTCCTTGTATGCGTCACCCAGTTTTATTGCATTCTTCTTCAGTTTCGCAGTTCACCTCCGTCGCATCATTTGTATATGTATTCTGCTGTTACGTTGCATGGATTATACATGGATTATACTGTTTAGTGCATTGCCAACCAGTTTAGTGGGCTATTTTTGGGCAGGAACGCACAGGAACGGAGTTCCGGCTGGCTCCCAAGTTGGCCACGCCCAGCAGGAACTCATTAGCATAATAGGCCACACCCAACAGCAGAAACTTATTAGGACTGGCTACATTAGGGGTGTGTGGCCTAACATGCAAAGGAGTTCCTGCTACAAAAAAGGCCCTGGGTTTTGACAGCAAACAAGGTAAACAGAATAAGACGCAAAAGGTGGGTGTGGCTGGATGATCACACTTCTGGTAACATGGGGGTGTGGCCTGATATGCTAATGAGCTGTGCTGTCAGGGGTGTGGCATAATATTGTAATGAGTTTCTGCTGTTGGGTGTGACCTGTTATGCTAATGAGTTCCTGCTGGGCTTTTTCTACCAAAAAAGCCCTGAGTAATCCAGTTTTATTCACGGGGGGGTGGGGGGAGTGATATGTTTTATGCTGTTCCTGCTGTGTTCGTCATTACTGTGTAACCCACCTTGGGTTTCAGTGACAAATGAAATAAGTGAGTAAGGGAGTAAGCGGTCTGTCGCTGAGTCAGAATGCCACACCCATTACAGCTAGGGTTCCCAACCTCCAGGGGGTGGCTGGAAATCTCCTGGAATTATAAATGATCTTCAAGGCTACAGAGATCAGTTCTCCTGGAGAAAATGGCTGCCTGGGAAAGCGGACTCTACGGCATCCCACCCTGCTGAGGTTCCCTCCCCTCCCCAAACCTTGCCTTCCCTAGGCTCCGCCCCCAAAATCCCCACAAATTTCCCAACCCAGAGCTGGCAACCTTGGAAGCGTTTAATTACCTGGTGCCGGCAGAGGGATTGCGTCTCCTGCTTGGACTGTCACCAGGATTATGCCTTCACCTGCAACTAAATTTAGAATGCTGATATCAGTTTACAGCTAGAACCCCTAAGCACATTAAGGAAAGCTAAACGTTTACTTTGCGGTAATCCCCGAAAGCAAAGTTTGCTCTGCTTTTCAATCGCTGAAAGGAATTCCAGAACCAGCTAAAATAAACCCTGGATTCCCCCCATCTCCGTTTTATGCTCGCACCACAGACTTACACAACGTATAAGCGAACACATGATTTTGATTCCATAATCTTTCTTTTCTTAAGCAAAAAACAAGCACACACAAAAAAGCTGGAACTAAAAAGGTCACCTCCTTGATCCCTGATGCTCTACCCTAAATCCATGGCGAATCTGTTGGCCCGACAGCAAGTTATTTTTAATCGCTTGTGGTTTATTTAAAGACGATGGGTTCGGCTTCGCATCCGGTTCCTGCAGAACAAACGGCTTTCATAATGACTTGGAGTCTAGATCAAGAACCCTCTTTATTATGGTAAGTTTTGTGGGGAAAAAATATTTAGGGAGGAGGGGTTTACTGATCTTGAGACAAATGCAAAACTTATCAAAGATTTTTATAAAAAAATTCTGATGAAACCTCTCACGGCATGGGCAGGGTGGGAGTCCCAAATATTTTCAGCATAACGTTGGGGCCAAATTAGACTGCTGCAGCAGTATTTCCATATAATCTCCATGAATTTCCCTCTGAAACGTCTCTTCCGAATATGCAGGAAGAGGAGCTAGAGTCAGAGTTGCCAACTTCCAGGTGATGGGAATCCAAACACAACATCCGTGACAAAAATAACAAAGAGTCAATAAAGATATGTGTGCGAAATCATTTACTGTAATAATTCTGTAGAAAATTCTCTTCTATTATCGTTCACACGCAGCAGATACTGCGCAGTATAAACAAATCCGCTTCACAAGAATTGCTTTATCTGAGCGTGTAGCAATCACAATTCTTATCAATTTCTACTTATCAACTCTTGAAGGAAACATTCCATGTTGACTCTCTAATAACAGAACCACAAGGAGGGTTGCGGTAAAAATTACCAGAGTTTCCGGTGATTGCTAGAGCTATCTTTGTCACTTCCTGGTAGCTCTAGGAATTGTCAGGAAGTCTATGGGCAGACTCCCTGTAAGTAGGCAAGGCCTTATTTCACTTTTTAATTTTTCTCCCCAGGACAATTGTGAGGAGGGGGCCCGACCCCAGTTTCTCCTCTTGATCAGCTGAGCATTGGCAGGCAATTGCACACGACTGAGGCAGATCCACACTGGTCTTCCATTACAGCTTGGGGCAGCACAAAAGTGCCTTGACAGCGTGCTTCTTACTGGTCTAAAATTACCTGAAGGAGACATCGCTAGAAGGAAAGCTCCAGAAGTATGAATGAGAAGAATGCCCAGATATATTTGGCACAGAATCTTTGATGTTTGTTACTCAGAACTGATCAGGGGACGGAAGACACAACTCAACTGCTAATAAACACTTTCGTATTTATGTTGGAAATCCTTGCACGTCAGTCCAATGACAGAATTAATGTGCATGTGTAGCAACAGTAGAGCCAGACCGCATTCATCCGTCCAGAGTGCATTTCTTTGGGTGAATCATACCTCTGCAATGTATTTATGCTATCTGAAGTTGTCAGATTAAGGTAGGTTTATTGGGGTGGGTGATGCACAGTGGAGCGGAGTTACACAGCTCGTTCACTACACCAAATTTGCTTTGTTTTTACCCTGTCTATGTAACTAAGGTCGTCTCCAAAGCTCAATGCATACCCAAAACTTGCCAGAGCCAACAAAACGGGAATATCCCAGTATATCTAAGTTAAGCGTGATGAGTCCCGCCTGCCCTCCACGGTGGTTTCCTTCAGATGTTCAGCTTTCTCGACAACAATGTCCTTGCTTCATCTGTGTCATTTGGGCCGAAGCGAAAAGGCGCTGTGAATTAAGCAGCACGCCTGTGAATGAGCTGGCATCTGATATGTATTTATTGACATTAAATTTTGGGCTCTAATGTGCTCCTGCCTCTCTCCGACAATTCCCCCTAAAAGGCTTTTAAACGGGTACAAAAGGAGAAGGTCAAAAGTAAGTTGACCCCTGACAGAATGTACAATTATTAGAGTCGGCCGGGACAAGAGCAGCTGCTGGAACCCCACCGACACACCAAAGTACTTCCAAAAAGTCTGATTATTAATAATACGCTCAGGTTTCCCTGGCCCCGGCCTCGACAAGGTCCCTTTAGTTCCTCCGAGAAGAATTATGGCCCTCCCTAGCAGCTGAAATAATTGTGCCCCCATTGTTCGGGGGACCTCCTCCCGACCACCCCCTACAAGTGTCCATTGTCGAGATGGAGTCAAGTGATTATCTGCCCTGGCGGACACGGTTTGGGCCCAGCTGCCTAACTGCTGACACACGAACTCCGAGGAGGCGGGGCCCAGGACCCACGTCTGCAAGACAGGGACTCTAACATGCCAGACCCTTTGCATAAGTCAACCCGGGGAACAAACGCGTCTTTATGGGGTCCTGCTGACGGAGCAACCTCCTCTTCCTTTGAAGTGGTAGCTACTTATAGGGTCTCGCCGGCTTCT